ATTTTCTCCATTGAAAACTGGCGTGCGAAGCTCAGCAGTGCCCGATCCTGCCATGTTAGACATCGGATTCAAGAAATCACACCACCTCGATCGTCGTATGAGCTCGATTGCAGCTCGAATCAATTCCAGTTTTCTTTTCACAGATTTACGCCCAGTTTAGATAACCGAACCCGGCTCTGAGGCCATATTAGAGTTTGTGTTTTATTTGTATTTCAATGGAGTTCTCTGTGTTAGAGTTTGAAGAACAAAACAGCAATGGTGTTCGGAGAGAAGATGATTGAATATGTCTCTTGGATTTCACTCTGTAAGACCAAAATACATTTTGTAATCGTTATGTATGTAGAGGAAGGGAGATCCTTCACTCACCAATACACAACACAATCTCAACCATTCATTGCTATCATCCTATGAAATGATGTCACTTGTCTTATTCTATCACTTAGATCCTATGCTAGAGAAGAGACCACTTGGACTATGATCCAATGGCTCAGATTACATCAGAAAGATAAACACATAAAAGGAAAATCAAAATTTGTAACTTTAGCTCCAAGATATTAGCTCAAGGGTTACACATCAATAATTTGGGTACGAAAGGATTCGATAAGGGGCAAAAAAAAAAGAAAAGAAAAGAAAAGAAAAGTCTAGCAGTGGGCGCTCAATTAAATTCCCAGCTCATTCGAGCAAACAGTTTCTTCCCGAGTGAGACAGTATTTCCAGATTTCTTATTCTTTTGGAATTCTCATTGTAGTTTACAATAAATAAAAGGGAGTTTTAACGAAACTTCCGGTACTCTTCATTTTTAACGAAAAACCACATTTTTACCTTTCTTGGAACTATTCACTTACACCTTTATTTGTCATTTTTCATTAAAACTAATTTTTTTTAACGTTTCATTAGTTTTGCTTAAATATAAAATTCTATGGGTTGTTAGATAACCATTTCGTTTTCAATTTTCAATCTTTTTATTTACTTTTTTGAAATCTGAAAACTTTTTTTAAATTTAAAAACTGAAACCTTGTTTGGTAACTATTTTGAATTTCCTGTTTTTCCTCAACAAAATTACTTAAGCCATAACATACATTAAAATGTATTGCTATGAAAATTGAAAACTACTCTCTTTCTTGAGTTTTCAAATTTTGGCCTTGAGTCACTTTTTGGTTTTTATTTTTTATTTTTTTTTTAACTAAAAGTAGTTACCAAACAAAATTTTTGTTTTCTGTTTTAAAAAAAATAAAAACCAAAAACTAAAAATTAAAAATTAAAAAACTGAAAATGAAATGATTATCAATAAAAAAAAAACTTGGAGAATGTAAACCAAAGAATACTCGCTCTGTGATTGTTGTAGAACGTCAAATAAGTATAGTGAAATTCGGCAAGGCCAGCTTCTAGCTACCACTTTCAGCAAATTAATTAAGTTTTATCGGTACTAGTAGAGAGACATGTTAAGTGCTGCAAATCTGTTTGGTAAGTCTGCGTGAACATGTAAAACGTAGTGTTATGGCATATAGTTTTATTTGGTGGAGTAGAATTCATATGGCCTTGTAATCATGTACCAAAACGATCAAGTTGAAAATGGTAGGACATGGAAGGAGATTTGTTTATGGTTTCTAACCCACTTGCACTGCAAAATCGTTGGCCTTTGGGAGGAGAAAGATGACTCAGGACTATCTAGTCAAGTCTAAATGTTATCTAAAGATAATGTACTTCTGGTCTTCTACGATGTGTTATGCGAAGATGAGTTGACGCTCGCTTAAAAAAAATGCTTAAAAGTCTCTAGTGCTGTAAATGGAGCTGTGAATGCCTATAGTAATAACTAAATATAACCGTAGCTCTACAATGTTGTTAGAGAAAATGTCATGATAAGATTGTTAGGTTGAAAAACATGCATAACCAAATATAGCCATACTTTGTTGTTAAAGAAAAAGTCTTGGTAGGTTTGGTAAGTTTGTTAGACATTTTGCCATAAAAGACTAAAGAATAAAGGAAAGACGAGAGATGAGAAACATACAGAGGAAAGGAGGAAAGAAAAGAAAGAAGAGGTATGCAGAAGAAAACATCAGTGAGCCAGGTTAGAGAGAATAGAGAAAATAGTGAGAGTTTTTTTTGTAATCCTATTATTTCAGATAATGAAATAAAGTAATATTGCTGCTCCGAGGATGTGGGCACACTTGCTGAACCTCGTAAATAGTGTCTCACTTACTTTATTCCACTGCATACAACATATCCTTAATTTCACAACATCTAAATTTTTTTTATTATTATAACGATATTATTTATGTTCAGAAAATGATATTAAATTTGTTAATTACAAAATTTTACCTAAGATCTCCTACTAAATGATGAACTTGTCATCCACTAAATGGCGAGATTGGAGCTTTGGTAATCTTTATATTTATATTACTATTTTTTACTTTCCTTTTTATTCTTTTTTTTTTAAAAAAGAGTGGATGAGAATTCGCACATCAACTCGCTTTCCTCTACTTGGTGAACTAAGCATGCTGTATTTTTGTAACTACTGGTGCAGTGCAGTGAGCATTTTGAATGGGCTCTCTAAATAGCTCTTAACCAAAATTCAAGAAGAAATAGAAAAAAAAATTATCTCCAAAATTAATTAGAATAATTATTACTTCCTAAGCTGGTTTATTTAATACCCTGCTCGTGTACCTGGACATACTATTTTGTGACATCTCATGCTAATGCTTCTGACAGGGTAGTATATATGGAGGGTGGACTGTTCATACCCATGACAATCCAACCCCACCCCAAGGAGCCCAAGAAAAGCTTGGTGAGGACGACTTCAAACCCGTCACAAGTGCCAACAAAAGGCCCATCAACCCGACCGACGAGTGGTTCCAACCATAAGCATGAGTTATAGGACTGAATACGCGACCAATCATCATGAGTCATGACATGACCGAATCGGTCGACTGACTGCACACAACCAATCTCGCCCTAGCGGCCCGTTTGGTGTGCTGGATGGGGATAAGATATGGACAATTAAAATGAATATTAATCCCAACGTTTGTTTGGTGAGTGTAAATTATTTCTCGGATTGATTACCCATCTTGGATATGAGTCCATAATTCAATGGGATTTCAATCCCGACTCGACACACAGGTTATGAATCCTATCAACTTGGCGAGCTTCTTCTTCTTTGTTGAAGCAAGCTATGAAAATGCTAGTCACAATGTCCAACTCATCTCTCTCCCAAAAATATGAAACTCTTCAATTATGGCGTTTCTCTCAGTTTTGAGAAAATTTTGACGATCTCCGATTTAATTTTTTTTCAAAGTTTAATTATTTAAAAAAAGATAACCAAAGTCCAGTTATGTTGGCTTAGTGAGTACCAAACAACGGATGTGAATCCAGTCAAGCCTTATTCAGTCCAGTCCTGCTGGCTTAGTGGGTACCAAACAATGGATATGAATCCAGTCAAGTTCAATACTACAAGTTATATCCATACCGGCCCACCAAACTTAAAGTGATGCAGCAGGAAACGAGATAGAATGATTGAAAACCGTATGGATCTAAAAAACATAAACATAAATTCATCAGTATTTAGAAACTCACCCAAAAACAAGAAAATCTATGAATTAAATTACAACTCTAAGCTAGTAGGCATCAAACCTAAATAGAATGAAGGAATTAGAAAAGAAAAAAATTATTTTAGATTTTACTATGATTAAGGGAGAGAGAGTTCGAAACTAGTACAATAACTTATGACGAATTTCAAACCCTATTCACTAAGATATTGGAACGCATAAAAAAAATGGAGTTTTAACGAAACACTCCTAGTACTGTTCACTTTTACATTATGTTTGGATGAAGAAATTTAAGATTACTAAGAAATTTTAAAATGACGGTGATTGAAATGATAGGATTTTATTTTCTAGAATTTGTGAATTTTTTTGTTTGGTTAACCTAAATGAATATGGAATTTGTTATTTTTAAACTCTCAATCATAGAAATTGGGAAATGACACCTATTCACATGGAATTTAAACTTGAGAATTGGAGATCCCAAATTCCAAGTTTTTTTCCACGCTAAAATTCTAAATTTGTATGTTTATGAATCCAAACAAAGGAATTGGTATATGTCAATTTATAAATTCTGACTTTTATACAAATTCCAAGTTTATTTTTCGTTTGTTTTCCTATAAAAAAATAAAAAAAATCCTGTTCAACTAGTAAAAAGAAAACCAAATCCATATGGACATGTAAAGACAAAATTATCCAAAATTTAAACTTTTATACCATCTTAAAACTCAAGCCTCTCTCTGTTCTTGAAACGCACTCGAGGCACCAACAAAACAAGAACAACCATATTGGGTGGACTCGAACAAGCTGTTGAATATATCACTGCCAGCTCATCAAAACAATTGTGAAAAGGATTGGGTGATGATGTAATAGTTAGTTAAAAGAGTTAGTTAGAGTTTTGTTACTAAAAAGCTTATTAGCTACTCCTCTAGTTAGCTATATATAGCTATTGTAAACAGATAGTAAAGTTCAGTTCATTGAGTTCAATACAAAAGCATATTTCTCTCTCTAAATCTCTCTCTAAAACTCTGTGTTCATCTTTCTTCTTGATTTTCTCTTCAATTCCAAAACATTGCAATGTAGTTAACACAAGCGGAGCGTTACATGAGAGATTCTCTCGTCAACACCACCTACCACTAGATTAGTGAATGCCAGTGACACCTAGCCATGAACCCAAGTCCAAAGACCAAAAATGACTCTGACTAAACTTTTAAGTCTGCATCTGAAGTTAGCCTTCCTAAAACCTCCTGCAGATGAATTCAACTCACAGCAATTTCATGCCCAATCATTAGTAATTACTGGCCAATCGATTGGCACCGCGCCCGAAACTTGAGAAAGATCGAACGTCCGGCACAGAGAGTTTCGCACTTGTAATTAATTGGACGAACAACAAAATTACTGAGACATCCAGAATTCTGGAAATTTAGATTCAAGTACAAAAATATTGCAAGAAAGAAAGAAAGATTCAAGAAAAAGTCACAAATGCATTAAAACAAAATCTTGCTGAAGAGCTACAAATTCCCTACTTATCCATAACTAAAACAAACAAACAAAATCACACTCCGATTAGAGAATGACGCTCCACTCCAGGGAGGCCGGCGGTTGCCCACCGCTCTCTCGACCCATGAGTCCTCCGGGGAAAGGAGGCACCGCCACCATCACCGCCCCTAAAACTAAACCCAAAATTGCCAACAGAACCATTAATCTCATACATCTCTTTCGTCGGCAGGAGTAGAAGAGCTCGAACCAATCTCGAAATTCAAACCCAAATAATCCTTGGTACAAAGTTCTCTCCTATTCATCTCATCCAACTTGATAGCCGCATTCTCCCTCAAACGTTCTAACAAAGACTTGTACTTTTTAAGCTCCGGCAGTTCCAATCCTTCTTCAATCGGCTTCTCCCACCACAAACTCCCCTTCTCCTCGTCCATTACATCGGAACCTTCTTTCACTTCCTCTCGACTCGATTCCAAATCTTGGTGCTCATTGCCGGCACTAGCTGACCCAAGAACCTCCTCTCCGCCATCATCGGATGCACACCTCGCTTGTTCACCAAGAAATCGATCAATGACAGATTCCGCGGAGGGGTGGCCGAAGAGGAAAGGATTGTTACCGGGCGAAAAGGCAATAACCGCAAGGGTGGCGCCAGTCAAGCAGCAAAGATCAGTGGCCTTTCGGAACAAACCCTTGCGCCGCTTTGAGAATGTGGCCTTGAGGTAGTTCTTGTTGGTTATTTTCTTGATGTCGATCTTGTTCTTCCCCATGATGATTCGTATATCATCTGCACGTATATATGTATATATACACGTCGTCTTCTTCCTCTGAATCTTCTTCTAAATTGGTGGAGGGAAGTGGTGGGTACCCAAAAGAGAAGACGCGGTATTGTATTTATATTTGAAGGGTTAGTGGGTTAGGGTTTCCAGGTTGCCCTTTTTCTATAGATTAATTGTTTCCCAAGTTAGCACGGCATCCTTCATCCCAACGACGATAGGAAAACATTCAAATGGGATTTTGCCACATGTCAAATCAAAGTTTTCCACTTTTTTTTTTTTTAGTACATCGATATTGAAGTTTCCCTCTTAAATCTCTCTCTATGTTTTTATGAGAATTTTTAGGATACGAGTTAGGTTTCCTATTTTCGGATGAATCCCAATTGTCAATCGGAAAGGGATCCAAGAGGGGAATAGTGTTCTGGAGTTTCACATATTCCAAGGTATACTTTGAGATATTGTAGAAAGTTTCGACTTTGGTACAAGAATTTGTACTTTTCTATTCCATTAGCTCTCATTATATGTATCCATCAAGATTCACCGTGCTCGTTATGTCTTTATTTAGTAGTTGACTTTTAAGTTTCAGTAGTCAAAATGAAGTTAAAATCGAGTTCCATGGAGCAAAATGAAGCGAACTTTGAGTTTCATAAAGTAAAGTTGTGACTTTTGAGTTACATAGAGCAAATTGAGATTAAAGTTGAGTTTTAGGGGGCATAGCTAAAAATAAACCCTTAAATCAATCAGAAACGTAGTTCAGCATGAACAGAACCATAGAAGAAAGTAAAACATTCCACCGTCCAAATCTCACTCGCTGTGAATATTTTCGTCTCCATTGAGAATCCGACATTCGTGGAAGTAGCTGTCTAGCTGATCAAGGAAAACAAAAGCGAAACAACAAACGAAATAACATATACATGAAGCTCACTAGACAGCATGAAAAAGGTCCACCTGATGTTTCCAATGACTCAAAACTACATACATTAATCTAAGATTACAACAAAACCAGGTCCTCTGGTTCCTCAAATGTACACCAATGTCTCTATAAGACCTACGAGCCTAACAAGTTGCAACTCCGTTCGTGCAGGAAAAAAGAGTTTCCAGACCAATAATTAAGAGTATGTGCCCCGAACTTACATTTAGAATCGCAGTAGAGTACAATCGTCCCCTGAAAATGGCCGCTGGGAAAGCTTGAACTTCTGAGCAATGCCGACACCAACCACAAAATTCTGTCAAATGCCAACCCATTTCACCCATCTGAAAACCCGGCTAATTCTGAAGGGCAGCTGATAGTCCTTGGCAACAGCAGGCTCCCTCTTAGCAACTTCAGATTCAGACCACACATACACCCCACGTTCTTGACGACTGCCAGGGACAGTGTTATCCAGGATAACAGCCACAAGGAATGCAACCACCATGTGTAATGAGAATAACGTGTTCAGCACATAGTTCACCTGCAAAAATAAAATCTCAAGTAGAGTTTCTTGGTTTGAAAGTTCAACTACGCATGCAGGCCCAGCATGTTAATGAAACATTAGACTAACTATGCCACTGATATATCCAGTGTTCAGCAGCACATAGTGCACCTGCAAAGAGAACATCTTAAGTAGAGCTTATCATGTATGCAGGCCCAGCATGTGTATTGATACAGTAGATCGACTATGCCACCCATGCTATCCAACACACATACCGCTTTCATCTTCACAAAAAATGACAATCACTGAACAGAATTCTAAAAATTGTCCAACAAGAAGGCAGAAAATACAATGAATAAAGTAGAAAAGGACCAGTTACCAAAATGGTTATAAGTATCTAAAAATGTCCCAAGTAATTTAAGTAAGGTGGTTGGTTCTATTTCCCAACCACCAAGTGCTTTGTCTGGGAAAACAAGGTAGAATCAGGGATTCAGGATTCAATGAATTGATGACTTATGTATGCGCCACAACTAACACACAGAAGGGTAAAAAGGGAAAAGGAGGTAAGTATCAACATGGTAATTTCTAAGTGTTATGGTATGTTAAGGGAGAAATTTATGTATGAGCATCGTGTCTTAGATAAGTAACATGTTAGGGGCAAAAATTGTAGTATGAGTCTCAAGTCTTGATCAGTCCACTAGAAGTAGTCGAGTATAAGTGGGACATTGAATCAGTATAAGATGATTCCACCACCGTATTCAAATAGTTTTGGAATATGAGTAGCTTAACTTGTTTTGACTTTTCCAATGTTCATGGGATTGTATGAACTCTATTTAAAACAGTAGAATGAACAAAGAAAGGCAGCTTATTATCTTATGTACTGTTATGCGCAAAGGACATGGATTCTTTTGTAGTATGGCAGTTATTTAACATGGAAACACAAACAAACACAGAACACATTCTTATAGCAGAAGGTCAAGTAGAAGCATACCCCTCCATATTTGCTGCGGAAGGGCCCATGAGAAGCTATAATGTATGGCTGAAAATAACTTGGAACAGATAAGTTGGAGTTTGGAGAGATGCCATATTGCTGAAAGTAGGCCGGTATTGAAAGCGAGAAAAACAAAGATAACCCGACTATGATAATATTCCTAGAGCTTCCAGCCTCACTATAACGTAGATTTGACAGGCCTAATGCAGCAAGCATCGCCCACATGAAGCACAGCAGTGCGGCAACCATGACTTGGGGAATAGATGCTAGAAAGCCTCCAACTTTACCTGCAAGTATAATATCTGTGATTAGTTGCAATGAGAAACATGCCCTCGACTCTACATCTAATTTGCATCTTTTGAGTTGTACCAGGGGTAATGGATATCAAATCACCATGATGTGGTGATATGAGGACATGAGAAACAGAGGAAACACTCAAAACAAATGTTGATTATGAGTTTCTAATATGGATAACGATGTTCAGGATCAAATAGCCAATTTCTACAGCAGAAAGATCTGTTCGGTCCAAGATAAAAAAATACAAACATATTGCACAACAATAAAGGTCGTACCCAGTGCACAAGGCTCCCGCTTTACGCAGGGTCTGGGCGAGGTGAATATCGGCTAGCCTTACCCCCATTTTATGGAGAGGCTGCTCCCAAGTCTCGAACCCGAGACCTACCGCTCATGAGCGAAGGCACTTGCCATCGCACCAAGTGCGACCTCTCATATTGCACAACAATACGCTAACAATTTAATTGTGGTGGTGAAATAACTGCAGAATAAGCAAATGGTAATCCCAAAATGTGCATAAAGAAGATTGAGAAAAATGTGTAACCAAGCGGGCCACAAACATATCAAATGAGCAATTATAATCCACTAACAAAACCAAATACATAACCTGCTATTAAAGATATTCAAACTATTATTTAAATGCTGCAATGCCCAACCAAAAGAGAAACTGACTAGTAGTCATACAAATTCTTGTTCAAGTAGTCTCATTGTTACAATTCAAAACAGAAGTTTAACACACACTTACCGACAAGGGATAAGACGATCAAAATGCATGCACCCAATCCAACAGCTCTACGGCTTCCCATCTTAGTGACGGCTATTGTGTGCACATTTTCAGTTAAGCTCGTGGACCCTGTTCCAGTACCCCATAGACCAGCCAAGACACTAGAAAGACCTTCCAGACCAATCCCTCGACTAAGAACACCAGGAGTAGGAGGTCTGGATGCCACCAATAATGACGATGCATGATATGAGCCAATCTAGGAAGTTCATACACAAAGCAAAGGTCAGAAACCAAACTAATCAGACCGTCTGACATGACAAATTAAACTAGCAGCTTAATGAGAGAGAAAAAGAGAATAATACCTAATGTTGTAAATAGTTTTCATTGTAACCAGTAGTTTGGTAATTTTTTAATATTTCCATGACGCAAGTATAGAGGGCATTCTCAGGTGGCCATCTCTTGCACTGATGTAACCGGGATCGTTAAAGACCAATACAACGTAATCAGACTGGTGTTTTTCTAAAGTGAACAATTAGGACCATGAGACAATAGTTTTTTCACCTAGCAACAAAGAAATTATGAGTTGCTCTCAGTTTATTATCCTAATCAAAAAAGTTCTATGGGATCAAGACAAATGAAGAGAAAAAAATTATCAAGCATTAGTCCAGGATGTCAAACCTTCCAATCAGGAACGCGTTAAGGACTAACTTATCAAACTGGGTTAAAGCCAACTCATTCATTTCATACTCGTCTATTTAATGGAATTAGACTTCTAATAACATATATAAATTTGGAACTCTCATACAAATACAATTTCCGTGTCCATTAAAATCACGAGTCCAGTATGTGCTTAACAGTGGAACTAGAAAAAAAAACGAAAATATAAGATTTTATGTTATAATTATGTTATAAAGGACTATAACTCCAAGAAGTTTATAGCCAAAATGAATGACAAGAAAACTAACCGAATCAACAGACGCGATAATTGATACCACACACATGACAAGGGCCATTTTCCAGTGGAAGACAGGAGTACCCCATTGCAACGGATAGGGAAACCTAAACCAGGGGGAAGACCTTAGTGCATGAGAAGTATCAACTCGACAGCTCTTCATCCTCAAAACATGCTTTCTGCAATGTTCAGATACTATGTTTGATGCAGGTACATTTATATCACAACCTTTATAGCTATATGCTCCAGCTTCAGTTAGTAGGAAAGCAGCCGACCATGTGATTGCCAGACCCAACGGAACCTGGCAATTCAGACAGAGCCACATCAATTTACGGAAGGCATGCATACAAGTGTTACATACCTGCTGAGATTAATCATCTTAAACAGTATGAATCTGATACAATTATGAATCTTTCTAACTTACTGAATATATCTTTTTTATTTTGTTACATGGAGGAACTTACCGCATATATCAGAAATACACGATGACCAAAAACAGATATCTTTCGTAGGTACTGCAGAAATTAAATAATAGTGTGTTAGGTGTTTTGGCACAGAAAATATAAACAGCTCACATGAAATAATCTATAAATTACCTATAAAAGAAATGGCCAAATACAAATTAAAGGGTAGCTTCATATACTTACAAGAGAAAAAAGAATGACAACTAATATCTGCACTGCACCAATCTCGAGACAATTACCAACTAACGGGAAACCATAACTATAGAAAGAAAGTC